GGCAGTAAAAGTATCCTGATAGAACCAAACTCACCCGTTGTTTCCAGTAGAGCGGCCATATTCAGTTGTCCTTTGGCAATTGTCCGGTACTGGTTCTGCATGCTCTGATGCAATTCGATCACGCACTGACCCTGAAAGTGTAACAGAATTCGCCGGGGGCGTGATTCACAACCAATGGTGAAATGCGGCTTCAAAAGTTCCATATGGATGACACGGCTTAACAAGCTGGCAAACACCGACCAAATACGAGGGCTGAGCAAAAATGTCTAGGGATAGACGAGTACGATGCACCGATACCCGGACAAGGAAAACGTGAAATGTAGTCTACTATTGTGAATGTTGTTCAGTAAGTGAAACTCACACCGAACCAAGTATCAACATAACCGAGAGCACAGATCACAAGTCATTCGCGGGTCGCTATATACTCGGACTGTTGTAAGGATGAAACTCAGTCGATGTCACTGGAGGGCGATGATTTTCTACGACTATAAATGTGATTTAAAGCAGCAGCAGCAGCAGCTGATTGTTTGTGAACTGCCTTTCATGATGACGCGCCTTCAAGAAGCAATGTGTTTCCCAATGTCAAGCACATGAGGCGTGGAATCCTATACGGGTCCCTAACATTTCTGAAATAAATTTCTGAAACTGAAATGGATTTGTTGTTACAAAGTTAGAGCGCTTTGAGACCAGTACTATTCATTTTGACAATTCAACTTCTGGAACGCGACTTTCCAGAAAACTTTGGACAGCTTAATCAAGCACTGGAACCAACCTGGAAGTTTTGGGACTCAGAAACATTGTGGTTAGTTAGACACCACAATTTGTACCGTGCCTGCAAGGTTTTCCTTGCTGTTTATGGCGCACTTTGATGTTACAAACGGAATCAAGTGGAAGATCGTCTGTCCAAAACCTCTATGGTCTGCTTAAAATTTGTACCAAAGGTCCCGCACTAATTCGGTCTGTCAAATTCGAATTTTTATTACAGATAAAACTTACAAAGACCTCGCTTATCAAATCCCATAGGGTGTTTACATTTTGGTTCGAAAAACGAGGATTTACATAGATTTGAATCGTGCGTTCAAATTGAATGATTCCGAAAGTATAGTTCTACACAGTGATACTGTGTTGTCTATTCCATCACGATATGTGTGCCATGTTGAGTTTATATGAGGAAATGTAGGGGTTGAAGGATTGTAATTATTAGCATTAATAATTTTATCATTATCAGTAATAGAGCATTGGTTGGTTGAAATTCAGTACTCTTACTGGACACATTCCCGATCCGAAATCCACTCATTCACCAGTCGATTTGTTGCTCTACGACCGCACCGTTTTTGGTCTTACCAATCAGAACACTTAAACCACCACATGTGTGTCGTGCTCGTGTAACATACCGTCTATCTCGTGTATGGATACCACCGGTGGACCCTTGACCCAGATCAATCATCCATGTCATGACTGTTTGATCTCGTCCGCCTGATCATCTTTCACCGCCTGAGTGTTGACAATCCCTTGTTGAATGATTCCTTTGCTGTTTGTCGTCCAATCTGTAATCCCGTATGACTCGCCAGACAAGTCTTTTTCCATAGCCACAGAATGTCCCTGATTGGTTGTTTATGCCCCTTTATATTACTATCTCATTGTGTGGTCATCCCAATTCGTCTGTCATTTGCATCCAAAGGAGCTTCCTGACTGATTGTGTTCCCCGAACCAGGTCAGCCGTAATTTGAGGCATGTTGTATGACTACTTTTTTAGTTAATGATTGTTTATCCCATCGGTACACGTAGAAATCCCGATCCTGTATTCTCCCGCGCTATTATTGCTGTTGCTATTGTTGTTAGAATAATCCACCCGGATCAGTTCACTACTCACACGCTTCCCAACTAAGGCAACCCTGTATATTTGAAAATCTTGGTGGTCCGTTGTTCGGTCCGCAGTTGGGCGTAGAGGTTTTCGCATTACGCTGATGAGGCCGAAGCAGTTATCCAGTTCCGGTTCCTGGAAGTTCAGTTTTGTTTTGTACACGAAGAAAATTACCATAAAACCCCTGATCGCCAAACAATCACATTGTACTAATGATATTTATTACGGTGTTCCAAAACAACTGCTTATCAAACTCTAGAAAATTCAAACAACATTTCACAAAGTATCGTCAAATATCAATAATGGAGTGGCGGAGGGGAGGGGGGGTTGAAATGACTGTCGAGAATTCGACGAACCTCGAAGCTGTGACTGGTAGAAGAACGGTTGTCAGGACAATCCGAAACATGTTGTAACAACGAGAAATGCAATAGAATATGAAACATGTCAATCGGTTGACAAAATGTTGAAAATTGGTTCTCGTAGCTCGGGTGAATTGAATTCCATTTCGCGAAATAGAAAATGTCAATCTTCCGAATACAGAATTATCTTTTGTGTCCTAAAGATGACAATGTATCCCAAAAATAAGCATATGGAGCTACCAAGCTCATTCTCAACTTCCTTGCAACCATAGTCCACTGAAATTGTCAGAAATTTTAAAAGTCCCGGAGGATCTGGTAGTAAGAATCTATGAGGTCTAAGCATCAATTCCTAAAAGATGCAAAACAAATTTTATTCAGTCATTCATTCACAAATTGGATCATATTCGGAGTGATCGGGGACAGAGAGGTCAAATTGTTTGACTTCATTCAAGACCCAAAAAGTATGGATCTTCTTGAGATTACTTTACAACCCTCGGGTATTGCTTGCCGATATAACATCTTTCCACACACACACACACACACACACACACACACACACACACAACAATCTATACGGCCTTGCTTGTGCGATGAGACCTTTGTTTTGTTTGCAAAAGAGAAATTTCCCCATTCTCCTTGTTCCGCATAGGATATGCAAGATCGTGACAGATATTCAAGCGGATTAAATGATAGTCGTAGAACAACCTACTCGATGCAAATAGCCCAGCATGATGTCATCAAAATTGACCGGATATTGAACAGTCAGATTGAAATCCGTTTCAATCCCATTTCGAACAGGTGTAGCCTGTGTTTCAAAATCGTAGAAATCCCAAGTGAGGAACAGACGTAGGTGACCGTAATCTTGTATTGCGGACGACGGTGTTGTCTCATCGGATTGCTTGGTGAGGGAGATTAGGAACTGGTTAGCCGCACTGGTGCTCAAACTCAGCTGACCAACATGGATCTGGTGGGAGCGAATGGCAATAGGTGAACAGTTATGACCAAACCCGCTCAGTGATAGGCAACCATATTTTTGACCTTATATATATATATATATATATATATATATATGACTGAAACAAGCTTTTCCCGCGATAAATTTGAAAAGAAAAGCCAGTATAGCAACAATGCCCGATTTATGTCCTTGATGATTACACTGAATTTCACCTGGTGCCTAATATCTATATAGGGATTGGGAATGAAGTACAAAATAACCACTTGTAAATGGGGTGAAGCGTCACCAAGGCAAAGCCAAAGTGATGAACAAGTCTTTTTGTTGACACTGAATTGGTTGGTGTTGCGTCATCAACAAGTGCTTGGCTATCGATGACCTTGGTGGTTTGTAAGCACGGACTTTACCAGTTCCCGGCTCTGTGGCATTTGCCATGGCAACCTTGCGTTGAACTTGGTTGCTATACTGGCTTCTCTTTATATATATATCTGTAACCGGCTTGCGGTCCAGCATGGTGCCAATACCACAACAGTAATAACAATAACTAAATACAGGGTTTGGGATATGGAAGATAGTAAAATAAGGCGAAACATTTGAAATGGAAAATTGCAAATAAATGCGATAACAGTGATTTGTGTTTCACCGTTACAGTTTTTGAAATTTTTCTGTTCAATTTGATCGTTATTTTTTTCGTGGGGGGGGGACACGGGACTTCAACAAGCAGATCGTACAGCATTCGCATTCTATTCCGGATCATATCTCTTGGCGTCTCTAACCAACAATAATCCTCATCCATTGGGCCCCAGCTTGGAAGACAGGCTGCACCAACCGAAGCCAAAGCTGAGGCCAGCTTCTTCATACCTCTACGTCATGTCATGGTCTGACCGCCACAGCGCTTCTTCTAGCCTTGCCCGGCCCGTGTGAAGAGAGCACGTAAAGGTAGTCGATGGACAGGCATACACTTTAATGATTAGGCTTGAACAAATTTCACAAGAGTTCTAAGTTAATCTGCTTGTCTGGCATATATCTTATAGAAAATGTTTAACTAAGCCACAGGTTCATGGAACACGGGTGGCGGTAGTCTACCAGTGCTTGTCACCATCACGTAGTTCAATACTCATGTGTTTGAGCCCCCAAAGACCAGCAGCAGCAGCGCTTCACTGTCTCCTTTTCTGTGCTTCACATAACAGTGCTTTGATTGGCAGTTTCTCTTCCCCCTTAAAAATTGTGTGCAAAGCTTTGTGATCAATAAACAGGAATAAATGAAATGAAGAATCAATGTTTGCTGATGGGAACTAGACAATGCTAATAACAATGATGAATCCAGTGCTATGCATTTTATGAGCACAACTATTTTTGTTCTTGTTGGTGGTATTGATGGTGGTGGTAGTAGTGGTGGTGGCTTTTCGTTCAGTCAGTGACAAAAATAAACACATACATCACTTATTTCAGCGATGTACCTTTTGAAAGCAACATTATGCACTTGTGGAACAAGTCACTACCAATAGTGTAGTAGTTTTCAGTTATGACTCCACGGACTCAGTTTGTTTCTATGTGAGTTAATGAACACAAATGTTTTCTGTACGTGTTTTGAACTTACTTCTATGAGGTTTTCACTACGACCAGGCTGTGACGCTTCCAGCGAAGCATGAACATTGACTGCGCGTTCCTCGGAGCACAGTGCATCACCCGCTCCCAATGTCGAAAGCTGGAGTGTAGTTTGATATTGATAGACAGAAATGGGACGGGTGGGACATGGATAAATGGTTAACCATACCAGCTACTGGATGCAAACAGTTGTGAAGTTCAAAGAGAATTGNATTATTTTAACAACAGATACAATAGTTGAGAAATCATCCGCTCGGATTCCCGTAACAACTGGCAATAACGTGGTTACTCAACCATGTGTACAAACTAATACTCGCAGGCTGTTAAAAATATTTCTGAGGCAAGAGGCCAGTGATTGCAAAGCTTCGCTAGCAAAAAAATACTGTCCAGGAAGAAACCAGAATTCCAGAAGGAGGTGTTCATCAGTATGTTCGGTCAAACTACAGGTTCCAGATTATGTTGTATCAGCCTCAGCAGCAGCAGCATCACTTATATATATCCTAATTCAATGCATTCCAGATCTTCCAGATACGTTGCACTGCACCAGCACTAGTAGTAGTAGTAGTAGTAGTAGTAGTAGTA